AACCTGTCTACAAGAGATCCAGGAGAACATAGTTGGCATGACCGTGGTAGGCAAATTGAGAAAGAAAAGAACAGGGTGGTGGACAGAAGAAGTGAAAGCCGAAGTGGCGAGTAAGAACAAATGCTTTAAAGAATGGCTAAAGGTGCGTACAGTGGAAAGCAGACTTGCATATGTACAACAGAGAAACCGTGCCAATCGAACTAAAAGAAAAGCACAAAAGGAAATGTGGGAGAACATCGGAAAGGACTTAGAGATAGATGCCCAAGGAACAAAGAAACTACTGTACAGCATGTCAAAGGCATACAAGAGTAGGAACGATGACAAACCAAGAAACTCTACTTAAAAGGATGAAACTGGTGAACTTATCACAGGGCAAAACAAGATAATAGACAGATGGATTGAGTACTTTCAGAAATTGTTAAATGTAGAAGAGGAAGGTCAGACCTTCAACGACCTCCCCCAACAAACAACAGAGAATGCCGCTGACATGACGGAAACTGCCATAACTATGGAAGAATTAGAAATGGCCTTGTCATTAACAAAGAACAACAAGGCCCCTGGGCCAGACATGATACCCATAGAAACAATCAAGGCAGGTGGAGACACCTTGAAACTCATGATCCTGAACTTACTCAATCATGCATGGGAAACCGGTTCAGTACCCGAAGAGTGGAACCAGTCAGTAATCTGCCCAATTTATAAGAACAAGGGGGACCCGCAGGACTGTAAAAATTACAGGGGCATATCCTTGATGAGTCACGTTGGAAAACTGTATGAACGTATCTTGGAAAGGAGACTGAGAAACAGAGTCGAATCACAACTCGATGAAAGCCAGTGTGGTTTCAGACCCAATAGAGGTACAGTGGATCAGATAGCAGCCTTAAGACTTTTCTTAGAAAAGAGCTGGGAACATTGCATCGAGCAACATGTCTGCTTCCTCGATCTAGAAAAAGCTTTTGATCGTGTACCTAGAGATAAGATGTGGAGAGTCATAGCAGAGACGGGCATTAGTGCTAAACTCCTCAGGGCCATCAAGAGCACTTACAAGAATCAGAAAAGCACAGTACTGGGAGGCACTACCTACTTCGCCATCAACACCGGTGTTCGTCAAGGTAGTGTCCTCTCACCCCCGCTCTTCATTACTTACCTCAACCATGTCATCATCAGGATAGAGAGAGAAGATTTCAAAGCAGAACGTTTCGGGTATGCAGATGATATTGCACAAACAGGAAACAGTTTGGTCAGACTGCAAAGAATAATGGGTCAATGGGACCAAGAGCTGTCCACTGCCGGACTAAAGTTGAGCTACGGTAAGACTGAATACATGAAAGTCGGCAGAAAAAGAGAGAAAAGGAAAATCACCATAAAAGGGCATACCCTCAAGCAAACGACCGGCTTTGGCTACCTGGGCAGTAAGCTGTCGTCTAACAACCTCATTGACGAGGAAATTGACAACAGGATTGCAAAGTTTACTAGAAACTTATGCTCACTGTACCCTCTCCTAAAGGAAAAAAGTATCCCTAAAGACGTTAAGATCTGCATCTACAGTACTATATTACGACCAGTCTTATTATACGGTAGTGAAACCTGGACTCTCTCTCATAGACTCAAAAGCAAAATTCAAGCTACGGAAATGAGAGTACTGCGCCTAATCTACGGAGTTACCTTAAGGGACAAAGTGAGAAATGATATAATAAGGAGCTCTTTCTCAGTGGAGTCCATTCTGAACATCATAGAAAGAAACCAGCTGAGATGGTTTGGGCACGTACTGAGAATGCCAGAGGAAAGGGATACAAAAAGGATATACAACTGGAAACCAAAGAAGAGAAGACCACCTGGCAGGCCAAGAAAGAGGTGGGAAGATCAGATCAGAGAGATCACACAGAGAGAGCAGAGGGACTTCGAGGAAGTGAAGAATCTGACTCAAGACAGGGTAGCATGGAGGAACCTGACCCAGAGGCTGACAACTGACAGACCAGAAGGTCTACAGGCGTCCGGGTGAGAAGGAGAAGAAGGTGAGAATTACTAGAGTAGTAATAGGACTCTACAGTCACCCGAGGACACACCCAACTACAGAGGGATGACAAAGCGGTCCTCGTCAACCTGACGGACGAACGACACGCTAGAGTAGCATTTCGTGGGTGTTAGGGTTGCGGCCTGATAACGCTGTTTTTTCTTCACATAGACAGACGTGGTTCGTACGTACTTAAAATGATGTTGTCAAACCAACTGTCGATCGGTGTAATATAGCCAGCTGCCGCCGCGCCGCGTGCCTGCGAAGCTGGTGTGTTACGCCGAAAGGAGGTTATACCGGCTATACAGATACAGAACTGAAGACAAAATACAGCAAAAAAAAGCAACTTACCGTGAGTCAGTGACCAGTGGCACCTAGACAAGACCGGCTCTCAGTTTGACAGGCGACAAAAGACGTCACCGGGTTTTCAAATACTGAGAAGATAACCTGAAAATCAGGCTCTTTGAGCTCCCTTCCTACATCTAACGCTGCACGTGCAATCACATGAACGTGACCACACAAAACGGCTGGGTTCCTGGTTACTAAGAAGGAAGGGGCGTGGCTAAAACCAGGTGACGCACGTACGTTACCTTTGATTTGTTCACAATGCTGACAAGATAAGCTGAAAATCAGGGCCAGTGAACAAATACAATTATTAACTTACAAAGCTCCGATAGGAACCGGTTTTTTTCTCCCTCTATTATTCCACTTCTTACTATTCGCCATTTTGAAAAAAAAATGTCTATGTTATTTTTGTTCGACTTCACCCTCGTTCTTATATTAGACGATGGAGCCCCTATCTAGGAACATTTTTGTGCCATTGTCTTCAAAACTATGGCAAGATATTAGTAATAGGACTCTACAGTCACCTGAGGACACACCCTACTACAGAGGGATGACAAAGCGGTCCTCGTCAACCTGACGAACGAACGACACGCTAGAGTAGTATTTCGTGGGTGTTAGGGTTGCGGCTTGATTGCGCTCTTTTACTTCACATACAATGTAGACAGACGTGGTTCGTATACGCACTTGAAATGTTGTTGTCAAACCAACTGAAGGCAAAATACAGCAACAAAATGCAACTTACCGTGAGTTAGTGACCATGGGTGAAAGCTACAGTAGAGACCGGTTTTACATAATACAGTATTCCACGTTGTCACTCGCCATTTTGAAACACTTTTGTCTTGTTTAAATTTGGCTTCACTCTCGTTCCTATATTAGACGACGGAATCCCTGTCTTCAAAACTATGGATTCTCGAATTCGCGAAGCTTTTATTTTGGGTAATAGATAATACAGCAAAATATCAATATTTTGCGGGGTGTTAGGCTTGCGGTTTAGACCTGATAACCCTGATTTTTTACTTATTTCCTTTTCACATTGACTAACCTGGTTCGTATGTACTTGAAATGTCCTTGTCAAACCAACTGAAGGCAAAATACAGCAACAAAAAGCAACTTACCGCGAGTCAGTGACCACCAGTGGCTGCTAGACAAGACCGACTGTCAGTTTGACAGGCGACAAAAGACGTCTTGTTCACTGGCCCTGATTTTCAACTTATCTCAGTGACAATGCTGACAATATAGCCTAAAAATCAGGCTTTTTGAGCTTCGTTCCTACACTTAACGCTGCATGTGCAATGACGTGAAAGTCACCACACAAAAACGGCTGGGTTTCTGGTTACTAAGAATGACATGGCGTGGCTATGGTTACTAGGAATGAAGGACGTGGCTAAAACCAGGTGACCGCGCGTACGTTGCCTTTGATTTGTTCACAATGACTATAGCTCCAGGCGAGTGGGCACATAATGAGGCTAATCACTGGACACAAGGAGTCAATTATCGGGCACATTTTTCTTGACATATTTCACACGCTTTTCTTAAACATCTACACATTTTTTTTACGAAATACAGAGGTAGTTTCTTTACACGCTAGATAAAATGAGTTGTTCTAAAACTAATTTTTTCATTATACAAACGGTTTAAACGGGCACAAGGAGTCCATTATCGCACACTTTTTCTTGACAATATTTCACACGCTTTTTTGAAACATTCACAATTTTAAATGAAATACAGAGGTAGTTTTTTTACACACTGGATAAAGTAAATTGTCCTAAAACTAATTTTCGTTATACAAACGGTTTAGACAAAACACGCACGTACACATGCACATTTTGTCATACATGCTTTTAAGTGAGTGAGCTTTTTTTAGAAAGTATATGTAAAAGTTAAAGACTGCCGGTTGAAACGCACTACACACAATGGATCTTCTGACACATACACGTACAGAAGTGGTATGCTTGGCAGTGGTATGCTTGCTCCAATATTTGTGTGTTTACACAGTATATATCATCATCATCATAATTATATATATCAAAGAATGTCTAAACATGATCTATACCACAAAGAAATGACCTTGACCTATCTAACAATAAAATGTCACTCAGTCTATCTAGCTACCCCATACAGATACTAAGTGCTTTGAGTTCTCAATTACAATAATTCTTTAACAGACTGTTCATACAAGTTGAACGTTATAAGTAAAAATGAGATTAACACCTCCAAACCAAAATATCAAGGCATCTTTATTTGGTACAGTATTTTGAACCAGACTATATCTATATGTTGTGACAAAAATTACCACAGCATACCCTGTGTTTCTTTCTCATATACACTCGGGATCCGATAGGCCCAATATTGGACTCTATAATTGTCACAGAGCTTTTCTTATACAAAGTTTTCTCATATTCTATCAACTGTCATGTTTGGTACAGTAATTTTTTTCAACCAGACTACTATATGTTGTGACAAAAAACTACCACAGCATACCCTGCGTTTCCTTCTCACATACACTCGGGATAGGCCCAATATTGGACTCTATTATAGTCACCGAGTTCTTATTAAACAAAGCCTTCTCATATTCTATCAACTGTCATGTTTGGTACAGTAATTTTTGAACCAGACTTTATATCTATATTTAGTAACAAAACTACCACATCATACCCTGCGTTTCTTTCTCATATACACTCAGTATTGGTCCTATATTTGACTCTATTATAGTCACGGAGTTCTTCTTGTACAAAGTCTTCTCATATTCTATCAGCTGTCTCCAGAACCCGATGTTTGGCCTTATGAAGGGCCTCCTGGCCTTTACGTGGGTGTGAGCTTCTTCTAGTGTCATTTTCTTGTGCTTCATCAGGTACGCGAGGCATAGAGCTGAGGAGCGGCTTATACCTCCTACGCAGTGTACCAGGGTACGGCCGCCCTGGTTCTGAAAGAGATGAGATGAACTGTCATGAAAGGTCATCTGTGTTGGTAGTTACATGTTTAAATTAAGTTAAAACTTTTGGTCCAACAAAAAAATTCTCTCACCTAGAGCTTTCGACCAGCCACTCTGGTCTTCCTCAGTAGACTGACCCAGTGAAGCTTGTCACATTGTCTACCAGATACCTTTGACCCAGTGTTGACTTCACACGTCAAAGAAGCCACGTGACAAGCCTCACTGGGTCAGTCTACTGAGGAAGACCAGATTGACTGGTCGAAAGCTCTAGATGAGAGAAATTTTGTGTTGGACCAAAAGTTTTAACCTTAAACATGAGATGAACTGGTTTATTGATAAATCACACTAAAATTTAAGTAAAGGTACAAAATTGTAGCCATGAGGCTAAATTGCAGCCAAGGATTGAGGTATTCAAGAATTCACTCTTTCCTAGAGTGGAACTAGCTGTCACCAAGTACTGTAGGGGCATTGTCATTAGATAGCTTTAAACAGTGCCTAGAGTTAGATGTTCAAGGGTTATGTGAAACAAGTCAATCGGTGTGATGTAGCCATGCTGTGACTGTGCTGCGTGCCTGAGAAGCTGGTGTGTTACGCCAAAAGGCGGTTATATGAGCTATGTACAGATACAGAACCTTACCTGAACCGACTCAATCTTGTCGCAGACCCCATCGAAGTGTGCAGAGAGTTGGGAGTGAGGGACATCGTTAACAGGCACCCTGACATGCTCCACCCCAGGTATGTTAGGGTCTGGTAGGTTGGTTGTAGCGTTGATGATACATGTGATCCCCCTGGAGTTGAGCTTAGGTTTGTTACAGGCAGCGGCACCACTGCTGAGGTAGAGATGCTCTGTGATGGACACCATGTCCCGAAATAGCGCCATGTTTTCCTTAACAAGATACAAGATTTAACTTTATTCGCTTTCACAGTGTGAATGACACTGAATTAAAATCGAATTTACATGTACTAAAGAATCTCAATTAGATAAAAACAGTTGCATTGGCTAAAATATTGTCATTTTAAAATATATGCAGTTTAATAATGTAGGTGGCTATAGATATTTACAAACAATGCAAGATTTTAACTAACCTGATCTAGTGAGTATCACTCCACACAAATTTGTCACAGAGAAAATACAGCCAAACACATCTGTAATAAACCACTTTGGGACTTGGAAAAAATGCAGAAGTCACATTGGATGAGTGATCATTGTACATTGCAGGTTTCTTAGAAAATTATTGGGTCAAAGAGAAAAAGATTCCAGCAAATGCAGATGTGTTGCAGCACTAACTCCACAATTTGTCAGTCTTCCTCTTGGTCATGGTTCATTCATAGTGAGCGTACCTGTGGGGGAATACAATACACACACTTGTCAAAATAAAGTTTCATTCATTCATTCTTCTTCTTTTCTTCTTCTTTCTCTTTATTTCCTCCCATAGGAGAGCAGTGTCACACCAATACAACATAAAAGTCACTTCACATATACTAATTAAAATATGCTAATTAAAATATATCTTGTAGGGTATTTACAAGGGTGATCAAACGATCATAATGTCGGCAATTAAAAGATATTTACTTTACGTCACGAATTACACTATAGGGTATTTTCGTTTGTTATCCTCCTTTTACACCGTAATAAAATATTCAAAAGGCATCAAAAGTCTCTGGTACTGTCCTTTCTTTCTTTCTTTCTTTCTTTCTTTCTTTCTTTCTTCTTTCTTTCTTTCTTTCTTTCTTTCTTTCTTTCTTTCTTTCTTCTTCTT